GGTAACTGTGTTCATAATGAAAATATTCGATGGTTTTTCTGCATTTCTCACATCTGTAGGACACGTCATCGCAGCCTGCACGCCAGGATTGGGAGGTGCGATCGTACAAACAGTGACCAATCATTAACCTCTGTTTAACCTAATCTGCCATCCTGATCATGATTAAGCTTCCTGTGTGTACACTTTATTCGCAATGTACTCACTGAATAAACGTGCTCCGTGCTACACATCTGTTTCCTTTCATAGCTGGGCTATAGCTTAGCTGGTTCTGGGAGTCTAGCTAGATGTAGGAGAATCTGCCATAGAGATTTCTGAGTCGGTCAGGCTTTACTAAGGTAGCAATCCGCTACACATTGGAATAGGATAAGTTTAGCTTTAGGTGCGCAAGCACTTCCGTTCCTTATATTAGAAATGACTTCGCAACACGAAAACCAAAATCCACTATTTGTTCAAAATTAGAAAACAATGGATGGAGTGATAGATAATGCCCTTGAATAAAAATAAGATTTGCCAAGTTCACTAGTGCCGCTGCAATGGAAATAATGGCATACTTCCATCAACGTGTTTCAGCGAAATTAACGAGAATGATTGAATAACCAAGCTACCGCATGTGTATCAGGAGAATTGATCTCCTTCTCTCAAAATTTAAAGACTTCAAGTTCATTACTCCAAAACTGGGAATGAATAAAATTAGCACTTTATTAACAAATAAATAAAATTATTATTTAAAAAGAAGAAACACCACTTTGTTATATTATCTTTTAATGAAGTTGCATTCGCTGCCCCCAAAGAGGTTTTCCCAATCGTACTATTGATTTTAAGTAGCTTGAATTAACTATGAATAGTTTTATTTTCCATAACTCATATTTAGTTCTATAGACTCAATTATATTAATTAAATTAGCATTACGATTCTCCAGTTTAGATCATATCTCATTTTGTGACATTTAAATTTCATGTAAGTGTATTGAACACGTTAAAGGATCTCTTGAAGATACGGAAGCACAAACTGTTCGTGTCAAATAAAAAGAGGAGACAAAATCCGTGAAGTTTCACGAAAATTCGCAAATATTTTTTTGATCGGAGATTGCGAAATTAAAGTAAACTTCTTTAAAGATTATAAGATATTTATATTCGTGTTATTTCCTAAAAGATAGAGTACCGCATAGTAAAAATAATACAATTGACAGTATGGTAACTAACAACATTTTATGCCTGAAATATTTCGGCAGACAAAAATTCGATCAAAACCAGAAGCCGGAAAAATTGCTCTGAGATTTTTTTTATTTTTTAATGAAACATCACCATGGAGAAACACTCTCACTCAAGCAGATGCATTAATGAACATTGGTTACCCGCATTTCAGAAACAGTCTCAGTTCGTGGCGCATAGAAACGTTGATGTGGTCTTTGCATTACTGTTTGATCCGTCTAAGGTAGAATGCAGCATTGGTCTGATTCATATTTCGCCCAAGGTAACTGAAAATTAGTTCCACCTCGAATTGAATAGGAAGTTTATTAGTGATACCATGCAGTTCTTTGACGACCTCCAAAATCTCTTGTAACCACGGGTCCGGTTGACCGAATGTGCTGCTATGCTTCATGTTCTTTAACAGCTCACAAATAAATGGAACAATATAGTCGAGCGACTCTGGACGATTTTTAAAAGCAACATAGATTAAAGATTTTAAGTCAACTCCTAATTTGATTCCCTTGGCCAGAGTTAGGCGACCAAGAAATGTCCCAAAAGTCTTCAGTGACTTCCCGTTAATTGGATTCAATTGGCCTGGGCGTAGCAGAAAGTCGATTTCTCGAGTTAGCAAATCAAGAATAAGTGAACGGAAATTATTTTGATGATTAGTGGCAAGTAAAACAAACTCAGTATACATATCAACGAGATTTGACTCTGTAGCTACCCTATTAATAACAAACTCAGCCAACCAACGATTGAAATGATGGGGCAATTGGGACATGAGTTCTTTGGTTTGGTTTTGAACATTTTCATCTGTGAGGTTGTTCATAATAAAATAAACTTTTTGGGACAGGCGTTCTGGTGGTTGGGGGATATTTCGAAGAGCCGCTCGGTAGCTCATTTAATCAAAGTTTTCGGTGTTAAAATAGGTGTTATGCGGCAGAACTGAGAGCAAATTGCTCCAAGTACGATCAAAATAAGCGTCCAACTTGTAAAATGTGAGCGTAAATCGCAAAATCAATCAATAGTATGGCATGAATGACTAATTAGAAGAAAATCGATGATCCTCTTAGCAGGTGGCTGTGTTATTAAGAATTAGTGTAAATTTCACTTAGTTCATTCTCGAGATAGTTCTGGATCTGTTGTTGACTTTTGCATCAGTTTCAAGTAAAACATGACCTTTTTAGTTCAAGTTTTCTGAAATTAAAGGAAAACAGGTAATAGTGATTAGTCAATCATGTTGGAAGGTATCAATAGTAGAGCGCTTTGTTGCTGTTATTTCGAGTAGAACTATTTTATGACTTAACACTTGATTTTGATTTTAATTGTTTGGATTCCAGTCAGGTGTCTCAAACCTCGTCCTTTTTTATCCACCGTCTCAGATAAGCTAATATTTGTTTTTTATGTGAAAATTATATATTTCTTTCTCATTTGGTTGCCTCTCTAATGTGATTATCGAATAATTATTGGAAAATAATCAATTTTCTCCTAAATGAGCTTAAACTTGAGTTATTTAAAAGATCGAATCGCCTTCCATCCTTGCAAATATTCGAACGGAAATCTTTTTAAAGCTTACCAGAATAAAAGGTTTTCAATGCTCTTTTGCACTAGTTTAGTTTCTATTCATTGTTGTATGTGCGTGTTAAAAAAAGTACGATTTCATATAAAGAAAAATTCGAAATGGGGATGTTTTCTCGATAAGACAAGAGTTTCGCAACGATATCTGACACTTCTTTTCGCTGAAAAGGATTATGATTGACTTTCACTATATGACGATTTGAGTACTCTTTTTTTCTATTTGCCATTAAACATTCTTCCAGTATGAGCGATATGGAGAATTGTAGAATTAAAATTTTTTACAATCGATTACTTGTTCTTTGTTATTAGTAATACTGAACTTAATTCCAAATTTTTTATCGAAATGGATTTTGTGGATAAAACACCTTCAGAATGTGATATTGAAGACCCTGTCAATCTATTGCATGCATCTAATGTTAATAGGAAGCGTAGTTTAGGCAGATATCCTACATCCAATCGAAAATTTCCAGATCGTTCCCTTTTCATTACAAACTTGCCATATATTTGATTTGTTCAGCTTCTACAGCATTGAAAAAGCCTCTTTTGGGTAGAAATGATTTTTAATATTTAAAAACCGTTCAGTCTTACTTTACACCCCTTTGATATTTTTGGGTAGGCTAATTAATCTTAGTAGCCATGTCTAATCGATTTCTTAATTATTAGTTGATTGAAAGGTCTTTCGTTTATTACCATGCTGACCGTAAAATTACTAAATTTGATTATTCAATAATACTTAACTTCATAGTATTAATGACTGCTTTCCTGTTCATTCACGCATTTAACTACTTGTGTCAATCAAATGCTAATTTATCCAACTCAATCTTTCAAATGTTTTATCAATGCCTTCGTTTGCAAACTTGCCGTATAGCTTCTCACCATTTGTAGCCTATTTTTGACGTCCTGCATCTGTGATTTCCACGTAAAGGGTTCGAGCAGCACTGGTGCTCGTTTTAACGCCATCTCTTGTTCTTATTATCATCGTTTATTTAAACTGACCTAGAGCATTAATTTATATGGCGACGGATTTCGCCTTTGATAATATTTGCTATCTATTGACTGAAAGACTCGTATAATCGAAGTTTTAAAATATTATTATTTGATTCGCAGGCAGATTAAGCATGTCTAGTCAGTAACGTGTAAGATTTAGTTTGAAGCCTTTTATTAATGTAAGTAGCGTAATAGTTAATAAGCTAGTCAATGTTAATGTTACTCATACACTTTAAAGCTTCTTTCCAGGTTAGAAACGCCAAATAACGAAGAAGCCTCTTGTAAATTGTAAGTTATTTGACTTCGTCTTCTTTCGTGTCATTTCGAAGAATTTTGCATATTTCCAAATGCACTTTATTTAGTCATGTTATATTACTGCCTTTTTAGCTATAAAACATCCCTCTGTTCTATTATGGCAATATAAAACGCTGTCTTATGTTACTAAAGTTTATTAAGTAGCAAGCTTTATATAAACCTTTACTAAATTCTTAAATACATAAATTGGGAAGGTCTTTGACCATTTCACGTCTATTTAAGCCACTATTATTTTGTTAATCAGTGAAATTTTTTTTAAATATTTCCAAAAGACAATAAATAGGTCTGTTTAGTGAGGCAGGTGAAAAGAGTACCATATGGTAAAGAACGTTTGAAGGGTTGGCAATATCTGTCACTATTCCGTGTTTCAAACAACGAGCATATAGTCTGTGCTACACAAGCAATAAGGGCATACGTCAATCGATTCTTTTGGAATTTTTTTGCGTAAACTCACATCATGAGTACCGCAGTTTCAGCAAAAGATACATAGATGGCGTCATTGAAATGTTAAAGAAACGCACACAGCTCATAACCTCATCAAAATCAAAATTATGCATTGTTTGGTGTATTTATTTAATAAAATCTGATTATTGAATGGCTCTCTTTACCGTATAGTCAATAATTTTGTATATAACGTAGTCAGTTAATAGGCGACTGCATGCATAAAATACAATGAAAAAGAAAGGTTGGTGTGAACTGGGACAGAAGTATCTGATTTTTCTGGGTAAAAATGGAAGAAACAGGAGAATACCGGGAGGTCTGAGTCAAATAAGATTTTAAGAGGGGAGAGGTGGGGAAGGCAAAACAAATGCAACCAACACGTTAGGAGAGAGGGAGTAATAGAAATGGTAGGTAAAATTAAAGTCATGCATGGGGAGGGAGAGAGAAAATGGAAGAGAAGTCAGATAATTTTTTGCATCAGAACGTATAGAAGAGGGGGGGGGGAGAGAGGAGGAATACGAGATCTATATTTTTCTCTCAAGGTAGCTTCGCTGCAAAGGTGCCTATACAGAGGATTATTCACGTGTGTAGTCTTCATTGACTAATTGATTGACTGAATAAATCGTGAATGCGAAACTGGGAGAATTAAAAGCATATGGAGGATTTTAATTGTCTTGAATGTGCGTGTTTTGTTTAAATTGAGTGTATCTGAAGTAGCATGCAACTCCGAATGGCATAATTGAGTCATTGGAGCAACGAAAAAAGCGATTCTGACGGAAGAAGTCAATTAGGGTAGATGTCTCGGTCAGGAACAGGTTTCGAAAAAGAGATGAAGAGGAAGAATAAGGAACTTGAACGAAAGTCTTCTATATTTTAATAAAATTAACTGTTGGAAAGAGTAAGCACTTTCTCAAATGGAGGAGGGGAACGCAGTTTGATGGTTTTCATGGTGATATTAACTCTGTTGGGATCGTGTCATTTCAGCCATTCCAGGCACTGGACCGAGACGATGAGGGGGAATTCGTTCGGACAAACAGTAGTCTAGGGACTGACCCCAATCCTACAAAATTAAAAGTTTAGTTGATAATCCCGCCATCACCTAGGCTGGTATATCCTCCTCTATATTTATGAACCTGATACCGAGAATAATCAAATACTTGCGTTATGTTGTCTTGAAATACTATGCACAAAGTTCGAGTGTAACATGCTCTATCTATCACTATATACCAGTGGCCCTGGTTATTACTAATGCTTCCGTTAGCCTCTACCTCTTTCTAGATACATATATTTTCATGCGTAACAGTTGGTGCCCTCTGTCCACACTGCGTTGGGCACACAGTAAGGAACAACAGCAACAGCGGCAAACTGTTATACACGCGAGGATACACACATACACGTGACCTTGGTACCAACCAATCAAGGTGCGCGCGCGTGTTCCAAATTAAGCCGTACAAATCGTGCTCCCAAATCGATGGACCTTAACACACACCCACACCCACATATACATGGGTGGACACACAAAAAGATGGACACGAACGATTTAAAACAAACGTGAAGATCTCTTTCCCATTTCTTATTTTCCATAATCAATTAAATCTACCAAACATAGAATGTTGTCGCTACCTTAAATAAACATACTTCTTTAAGATGCAAATAATTAAAAAAACTTACAGCAGAGTACGAAAGGAAATCTGGAGCCATTTCACAATTGTCCATGTCTGAAATAAAATTAAAGCATAATTTAGTTTGATCAAAAGCACTTTTTAATCTTGCATTTAACACCCATAATCTAAGAAGTTATTTGCAAGTGATTGATTCATGAATTATCAGAATCTCAAGCGGTAGTCATTCAAAATAGATCTATAAAACTTTGCAGATGTTTCTATTAAGTATTTACCGGCTCTTAAGACGCTGTACTTTTGCTAAATGCTATTTAATTCGCCCCGTGTCGGTTCACTTCTTCTTTCTAGTTAAAGAGCAAGTGCTCAGAGAATAGTTAAGGAGCCAACTAAGATATTCGGCGCGTCACGATGGAAGTTTTCAGCATCGGTAACTGTGAAAGCGAGTTCTCAAGGTCGTCTTGAAAAAACCGTGAAATGCCACACACTATTCATATGCTATCACATATTCGTGTGACCACGAGACTCAAGTGACAAGGAGCTTTGTCTAAAATAAAATGTTGTAATTTTAAAAAGCATTTCCTTTTAAAAATATTTGATTGGCTTTTGTCACCTACTTGGAAGAAAAGTTAAATTACGCTCTTTAATATTTGAGTAAAATTACGAAATCATAGAGTTTTATCTTACTTTTATTCTAGAGTGTGAAATATTGATTCAACTTTCTGCTACTCATTCTGAAATTAAGTAGTGAAAACAAACCATTTAATCAATGAGGGGGGAATTTCAATTATAATATAGGTAAAACTGGTCCCCTTTTAAAACCCAAATAAGGACATCTTGTTTGTATTTTTGGTGCATTTTTACCCAAAAGAGAAAGAAAACGTTAAGAGGGAAAAGATAAATAAAGTATGAACTAGTGGCCTACCCTCTGTCGGAAAAGTTACACACACGCCCTCAGTTTGGCGCGTTCAGCTCATGCATCCCTCCTGCCCCCCCCCCCCAAAAAAAGGTGGGAAATGCAGTATGTTGTAAAGAGGAGCGGGGAGGGGGGGGGGGAAGATGGTCCCCCTATGCGCCATGGGAAATCACTTCCTTAGAAGGCACATGCGCACATACGCGTTTCAAACACCCGCCCGGCGCTGTTTAATGTGTACCAGATCTGGCACACATCAGTACCCGTCCATTTAATTTATGCCCATCAATTTGACGTCAGCTGCAAGCTAGAGAGATAGAGAGTTACCGTGGCTGTGACTCCATATACCACTCCATTTTTTGGTACTTATCAAGGCATTTATGGTTTAAGCTTGCAAATCCATGTAATAAGTGGTACCACTTTCCCTGTCTTGCCAAACTCCACAATGAAAAAAAAAGTTGTTTGTCAAAGTTTGGCCAAGCACATCTTCGTTATCCTCGTATTTTTTCCATGCCTTTGAGGATCACTTGCACGTCTCTCAAACACGACACCTCTTTTTGAGTGCTATTGCATGCAACATGACATTCTTTCAACGAAAATGTGAGGTGTTAGTCAACTAATCTTCTCCCCAATTAGTATGAAAAAAGCAAATAGTGTATTACCTTGTATGTTTTCATTCAAGGCTTTTAAAAATGGCGGTCAATTTGACGACCTTCATGTTGGAGTTCTTTAAGAGAACAAACAAGCGTGCAAAAACTCGAAGAACCTCCAATAAACTATTCTCTCTGTTAGTCTAGTTGGTGTGGAATCTTGCTGCTGATGGTTTGGTTTATTCGAGTTGCTCAAAGCTACAGCACGCTATGTGTACTAGGCTATTTGACAACTTCAAAAGTGAGAGAAATAGGCACCAAACCTGTCTATTCTTGGAGGAGGGGTGGGGGGGGGGGGGGGGGGGGGGGGCGGAGCGGGGAAGGAAGGTGGGAGGGAAGTAAGTGATACTGCTTCTTTCCAATATTTCGGACGTATTTAGGCCTGATTATAAGCCTGGGCACAACGAGTGTTGCGGTGATTATTAGTCATTTGAAGGCGGTATGAACCGACCCGGTATCGTTCAGATACCCATGGCTATTAAATAGGTTTACCGTCGCTGAACGAGATCTAATTAAACTAAGCCAACTAACTGGTATTGACAATAAAATTCTCCTTATTTGTCCCAATAATTTACAAATATGTCCATTTTATTTAGAAGGTTGCGTTACAGTGTGTGTTATGCTCTAACCCCACGAAAAAAAAAACAATTAAATAGATTAGTCATATATATGCTTTGAAAGACAAACTGGAATGAACTTCAGGTAAGTACTCATTATAATAATAAATTATTATATTTATTATAATTGACTATAGAAGTTAATACACCAATAAGCGCCAGTTAGTAAGTATTGAACTAACTAAAACAAATCCTACTAGGTTTTAATTAATTTCGTTATTGATAGAATTTTCTGCAGTTCGATTCCTGTCCGTTGCATATTGTTGATAGAAGGCATATAAGTGAATGCTCAGACTGGATTATCTTGAACCGTTTTTTCTTCACATTGAGTGGATAATATGGAAGTCCACTTGCAAGCAATACTGGGTGGTCAGAGTACAGAACAGATAGAGGTTTTGTTTTTGTATTTACAACTAGCGTCCAGAAGGAGTAAAAGTCAGCCGGTTATTGAGGGAGAGAGAGAGAGAGAGAGAGGAGTGTAAACTTGTTATCGACGAGGTGCTGAACAGCTGTTCGAAATAAAATGCAATCTCCTTAGAGCCGATCGAACGATCGGCGTATACAGAGAGCCGAGAGGGAGGCAACTAGTTAACTAACCATTATCGGCTGTGAATAGGGCAAGTGGGCCGCCGCTAACGGCTAATTCTGTACAAACACATAGCCCTTTCCTAGATTTCCTCCACCCTCTTTTGCAAGCCGCCCAGCCAATTTTCTGACCCACAGCATAAGTTAAGTGTGCATATTGGCCTTAACAGCAGTCAGAAGTAGTCATGGTCTACAGAGGTGGAGGAGGAGGAGGAGGAGGAGAAGGAAAAAGAGAATGAGAGATGATAATATACACACATACACCAACTGGCGTCGGAAATCACTTCCCTCAGTGGTGCGAACGTGTGCTCTCTTTCTCTCTCTCTCTCTCTCTCTCTCTGTATGTTTACGCAAGCTGGGGCTAGATAGAACCCGGAGAAAGCAAAGAGAGAGAGAGAGAGATATGAGTGCGTAAATACACATATTCACACAGCCACAAACAGAAATATAGGCATCAAGAAATACAACAACAGTTGTTCATGCTCAGTAAACGTAAAAGATGCCCCCGTCTTTCTACCTCTCCGTCTCCAAAACGCATTATATAAACATCGACTGGCCTGATGTTTTACATGCCGGTCAAGTAGAATGATGTAACACGATTATATTCTAGCATTCCAGGGAGTTGGGTTAACAAGAACTGCTGATAATAGTGCATCTATTTCACTTTGAATGAAAATGAATGCGATCTGTGTGGTGCCTATTTGTGGATATTTTTAGCCGTTTACTAAACGCAACGTTTACTTAGAGGTGGGGGAGTCGG